CAAATACCTTGACTTTGTGTACACATCTATGACATCTCTAGGTCAGAATACAGCAAAAGAATAAATCAGAAAGCCTATGTGTTAAGACTTTGATAGGAATACAGAAATAAAGGCCTTATTTAAAAAAATCATGGGATATGGGTACAAAAATAGAACTATTTCTGAGTAACAGGCACAGAGAGATGCTAATAGTCAAGCTTGTTTCATTTTACAGGGTACTAACATCTACTACTTTTTAGGATTTCTTTTAAACTGACATCCTTACCTAATGATGTTATATAATTATCACTGGAAATACAAAATTCTTGCTTGTAAACAAAACTAATTAAACATCAACATTAAACTTTAAAAGGGAAAACCAAATAGGAAAATGGAGAAAAATAAAATCCCCATGTATACAGAATTCTAAAGAATTTTGTTGGGAGTAAGACTATTACAGCTAACAGAATTCTACAACCTTGAAATATATGTGGTCCACATACAAGAATTGTTTGTGCTTCTATACATTAGCAATAAAAAAATTCATAAAGGAAATTAAGAAAATTGCAAGTATAGGAAAGTAATATAAAAATGAGAAGGAATAAATCTAACAAAGGAAGTATAAAAGGTGAAAATATACAAAGACAAAAATAAATGAAAAGATATTTAATACTAAATTGGATGTCTAATACTGTTAAGACAATAATATTCAAAAGAATGATCTACATATTCCATCTTATCCCTTTCAAAACAATTTTTCAGAAGTGGAAAAGTTGGTTCTAAAGTTTGAATGAAACACAATGAATCCTTAGTAACAAAAACAATTGCAAATAGAATTCAATAACATATAAAAAAGATTATCCTCTGTGATCAAGCTGGCTTTAATCCAGAGACACAAAGATGGTTCAATACACAAAATTCAATAAACATAATCTACAACGTGAGTAGACTAAAGGACAGGAACCACAGGATCACTCTATTTAGATGCAGAAAAGGCCTGTGACAAAAATCCAACACCCCTTCATGACAAAAGATCTGGAGAATCTAAGGATATAGAAGATATATCTCAAAAATAATAAAGGCAATATACAAGAAGTTCATAGCCAACATCAACCTAAATGATGAGAAACTCAAAGCATTTCCACTAAAATCAGGAAGAAGACTTGGTAGTACACTCTCCCAATCCCTGTCCAACAGAATACTTGAAGTCTTAGTTAGAGCAATGACTAGTGATGGAGATCAATGGATACAAATTGGAAAGGAAGACTCCAAGGTATAGTTATTTTCATATTGATGGGAGATGTCATTCTGTAAGCATATTTCTCTTATTGGTTAATGAATAAAGCACTGTTGGCCAATAGGAAAACAAGATAGGTAGGACAAGGAGACTAGGAGGAGAGAGGAAGTAGGAGGGAGGAATTTCAAGATGGTGGACTGAGAGAGAAGAATGCTGGGGCCTCTCTCAGGTAAGATGAGACCACGTGGAAGTACTTAGATTAATAGAAATGAGTTAATATTTAAGACAGAGCTAGCCGATAAGAAACTAGTAACTGGACAACAGAATTATATCAAATACAGCATCTCTGTGTGTTATTTGGGGCAGGTGCGGCTCTGGGATCAGACCGGTGGCGGGGGGGGGGGGTAAAACAACTCATAACATCATATGATATGGTTCTAGATGTAAAAGACCATAAAGAAGCCACCAGAAACCTCCTACAGTTGATAAATACATTCAGTAAAGTAGCAAGATACAAAATAAGCATATAAAATTGGTAGTCTTTCTGTATGCAAATGACAAACAAACTGAGAAAGGATTCAGAGAAAACAGTACCTTTCACAATAGCCACAAAAAACATCTTGGAATAAGAAATGAAATCTAGTACAATGAAAATTTTAAGACATTGAAAAGGACATCAGAAGATGGAAATATTTCCTACACTCATGAAATGGCAGAATAAATACTGTGAAGATGGCCATCCTGTCAAAAAGCAAGCTACAGATTCAATACAATCCCCATCAAAATTCCAATACAATTCTACACAGATTCAATACAATTCTACACAGAAACTGAAAAAACAATCTTAAATTTCACAAAGAAACATAAAAATTCCAGGATAGCCAAAAAGTCCTGAATAACAACAGCAAAACTGCTATATTATAAATCGTACTGCAGAGCTGTAGCAATGAAAACAGCATGGCAATGACATAAAAAACAGACATGTTGATCAATAGAATAGAATTTTGGACTCATAAATACAGCTGAGTTCTGACAAAGAATCTAATAATACTCAAGAGAAAAGACAGCTGGTCAAACTAGACAGCTACATGTAGAAGAATGAAATTTGATCTTCATCTTTCACCCTGAACAAAAGTCAAATAGAAATGGATTTAGGACCTTAATTAACATAATACCTGATACCCTGACTCTGATACAGTAGGTAGTAGGGAGTATGTTTGAATTCACTGGTATAGGAAAGGACTTTCTGAACAAGACCATGACAGTACAGGCATTAAAAACAAACCTTAATAAATGGGACCTCATGAAACTAAACAGTTTTTATACAACAAAGGATACAATCCAGTGAAAAGGCAGCCCACAGAATGGGAAGCAATTTTATCAGAGATGTGCCTATGGCAATTTGTATGAGAATGTCCTGTATTTCCACACATTTGACTCTTGGATAACCAATTGGAAGAATTGTTGTGAAGGCTTAGGAGGTGTGGCCTTGTTAGGGGATGTGTGTCACTGATGGGTGGGCTCTCAGATTTCAACAGATTTATGCCATGTCCAGTACACTTTTTGTCTCCTGATTATAGTTTTAGATGTGGGATTCCAGCTGTTCCTGGATGCCCCACCATCATGGATATTAACCCCCTAGAAACCTAAGCCCAATCAAACACTCTATAATTTGTGTTGGTCATGGTGATTTATCACAGCAATAGAAAAGTAATTAACACAGCAACCAACAGGAGGTTAGTATTTAGAATATAATAAAAACAAAGAATTAAAAATAAAATGAACAACCCAATTAAAATATGAAATGAAAATGGTTGAAAACACTTTAAAATACAAAATAAAACTCTTCCAAAGTATGGAGAGATGGCTCAAGGGCTAAGAGCACTGGCTGTTCTTCCAGAGGACCTGGGTTTGATTTCTCAGCACCCACATGGCAACTCACAACTGTCTGTAATTTTATCCAGTGCCCTCTTCTGACCTCTGCAGGCACTATGTACATACACGGTATATAACTAAACATGCAGGTAAAATACCTGTCCACATCATATAAATGAAATACTACAACCCTCCCCCCCAAAAAAAAACCCTGAGGCTAGGTGGTGGTGGTGCATATCTTTAATCACAGCATGTGTCAGAGGCAGGCAGATTCTCTGTGAGTTCGAGGCCAGCCTGGTCTACAAAGTGAGTTCCAGGACAGTCAGGCTACACAAAGAAATCCTGTCTCGAAAAACAAAAACATCAAGACAAAACAGAAAAATGATGACAAATGCTAATGTGGATCTGGGAAAAGGAACACTTACTCAACGCTGCTAGGAATGCAAACTGATATAGCCATCATATTCCCCAAGTGAGTCTTGTAACTATGGCTCTGGGCTTAGGTAGTAAATGAGAGGACCAGAAGACCAGAAGGCAAGAGATGAACAGCTAACAGAAAATGAACAAAGAGGGTCTACAAACATATAAAACAAAGAAGCAAACACTACCTACAATGCTGGTAAGAATGTATGGAAAAAAGGTGTTTCTCATATACTATTCATAAACTGATCCTTTTGACATTATTAATTTGTATCTCGTACACAATCTTTAAACCAACAAGTTTTTCAATCCTAGAGAGACATTTACTAGTAAATGTCATAAAAGATTATTGCAAGGATTTTCAATGCAATAAAAAAAACTTAAGGACAACCTAAATGTCAAATAGAGAAATGATTAAACATACAATGCTACAGAATACTTTGCAGCAAGCAAGCCTCTATGCATTGATGAAGCAGATTATCTCCATGTACTGATGTTGAAAGATAGCATACCAAACTGTAGAGTGACATACATTAAACAAATACTCTGTCTCCATTTAAGTTATATGAACAAAAAATAAAGGAAACTTGACTCAGAAAGGAGAGTATTAAGCCTAAGGAATTGTGTATTTTTCTAGTTTTTTGGTCTCAGTCAATGAAAATTAACTATATTTATATAATTTTAAAAATAGTAAAATAAAAATATACATTATTGTTACCTACATTATATAAACCAGTACTTTATTCATTATATTACTCCAAAATCATCCTTTCAATGATTCATCATTTTTAGGACTTACTTCTTAAATATACAAAGTTTAATGAAGGCCATTTTAGTTTTCTATCAATACCTGAAAGAAACTGATTCCAGAATGTCCTCTCCCACCAACCAAAACTCACATGTGCTTAAGTTCCTTATAGAAAATAGTATGGTATTTTCATACACTCTGTGTTCTTTATCATGTACACTTCCAATGTAAACAGTTGTACTGTACAAGTTAGAGGAAAATGGAAAGAAAAGAGTCTGTACATGTTCAGTACAGATGTATTTTTTTCCAACATTATTTTTGATCTATGGATAAAACTATAGAGATGTGGAATGCTCAGCTACAGTCAGCTGGTGGTATATACCTTAAAAAAATGAAGTGGTTACCACAGAACATTAACAACACAGATGGTGATAATCAAATAAGCAAGAGTGGAAGAAAGATGAATAGCACCAAAATCAGATGACAGCTAATTATAAGAGAATTGTACTATATTGGAGGATTTCCTATGAGTAAGCCTAGTGTACTGAGTAAGCATAATTTCTAATTATTACAACAACCTAGAGATATCCCCCTTTCACAGAACAAGAAAACATAGCATAGAAAAAAAAATAAGTGTCTAGCTTAAGGTCAGGCCTGTGTTCACTAGACTATCTTCTTTTAGAGTTAGGACTGAGATTGGGAACCCTTTCAATCTAGCCCCATATGCTAACACATTCTTACTATACTCAGCATCCTTGAAGCATGCTCCCAAGCTGTCTTGCTCATCGAGACTGGCATTCTCCTCCTCCTCGCTTTCGTTTCTCCAGTATGCTGGCCTCTTGATGGGCCGCTTCCCTGGGGTACGCTGGGAAGCAGGACTGTTAGACACAGTGCCCAGCCCACTGCTGGAGCTCCCACTGCTTCGGTCTTGCCCCCCGGTCCACCAAGCCTGCAGGCTGGAGGTAGCTGGTGAGGATGATGAGGACTGCAGGTTGGCCATACACAGCATGCCCTGGATGGCCTCTTGAGTGCTGGGGGAGGCTGGAGCCTCACTGTAAAGGACAGAGGAGAAACACTGGGAAAGTTATTCTAATCAGAAGAAAGCAGTTGTAAGAGCATACAGGGAGGAAGAACAGCTATGACAATCAAGGTGTTACAAAGGTGAGAACCATCCGTGGTTAAGAATGAAGATAATTTTAAAAACTGTTTTCATGAAAAGCTAGTTTTGCCTCAAATTTCTTTAAAGACAAGCAATGAGGGGGAGTCAGAATCCTCTTTTTTATCTTCAATCTATGCTGCATTATTTCCTTTTTTAACAATTCTCTTTCTATGACTCTTCCTGGTCTATTTCCAATGCACTTAAAATTGATTTCACTTCAAGTCTACATATCTTCTCACTGCCAGATATCCCAGGATATTTTTGCATCCACATCATTCTTTAAGCATAAATCTCCTTGCTAATTATCTGTTTACTTGGTTCAGTACGTTGGGTATGGTGGTACATCCTATAATACCAGCACTCACTGGGAGTCAAGGCAGAGGACTAGGAGTCCCAGACCAGCCTAGGCTAAATAAAGAGACCCTGTCTCAAAAACCCAAAACAAAAAATGCTGAATAAATGGCTTAGCCCTTTGGGTGGTACTCTTCAATAGCCTGGAAAATGGAGATTACTCACGTGAGGGCAGCATAGTCAGGTCCCCCCACCTGCCTGCTGGCCTTAAGTAGATCAAGAATTCCACCAGCTCCACTCCCATTCCCAAGCTTGCTTTCAACCCCTTCCACCATGTCCTCATCTGTTGTATAGTCCTCCTGTTAAGAAAAGAGCATACTGCCTCAGTTGTACAAGGCAGGTCTAGTAAGTTTCCAATATAGGGTTGACAGTGTGAGTTCCAACATCCTAAATGTAGACCATTTATTATGCAGAATATTTTTATTTCATTATAATCTTTACAGTATCTTTGTAAAAGCACCATAATACCTATTTGACAGGTGAGCAATCTAGGGAGCAATGAAGTAAAACAATTTGTGAAAGGATATATCATAAACTGCAAATCAGGTATATACTTTTTGTTAAGTGATACTGCCTTTTATTTTGTTCATTAAAGGATTTTTAAAAAAATTAAATAAATTATAATCCTCCATTTATTGGCTGGTCTCAACTTAGCATGCCATTTAAAATTCTGTAGGGCTGGAATTGAATCCAGGGCTTTATATATGCTAAGCAAGTGCTCTAGAGTGAAGAATATTCCCAACCTAGCATGCAATCTTTTATTTTGTAAATATTTCAGAAAGTAAATGTATAATATCTTTGTCCCTTGACTAGATGCAGGGCATGCTCCTACCTCAATGTCAAACTCAACTTCTCCAGGTTCACGAATTCGGTTGGGGTCAGAGCAAGGTTTTGCTCGGGGCAACTTCCGGGGAAATTCTAAAACACAATGCAATGTATTAGTATGAGGCTAAGATTATGATGCATCTGAGCCAAACACGCAAAGGAAAGAAGATAAGAATGTAATTCTGGCCAGGTAGTGGTGGCACATGCCTTTAATTCCACCTCTCAGGACGCAGAAGCAGGTGGATCTCTGTGAGTTTAAGGCCAACCTGTTGTGCAGAGATAGTTCCAGGACAGCCAGGGCTAAACCATGAAACTCTTGTCTCAAATAAACAAACAAACAAACAAACAAACAAACAAACAAATAAATAAATGAGATTTTCTCTGAAGTAATAAGAACCAACACATAATTAAAAGAGGTGAGGAATTAACTGAAAAATAAATCTCTAAACAACAACAAAAAAATGTAGGTATATAACCTGGTAAATCAGAAAGCCAACAAGCTCAAACCTAAAACTACCATGAAATGCCAATGCAGGGAAGAAATAGAACAGAAACGTACTTGATCTTATTATCAGGCTCGCCTTTTCCTTTCCCAGTCGCTCATCAATCTGCAGCTCATCATCTGAATCCAAGTCAAATTCATCTCCCATGACCTGTTCTGATACCAGCCTTGCATTGTCTACCTTCTTTGCAATTTTGGCTCTCCGAGACTTGGATAAGCTCTTTACCCTCTTGGTACTAGGAAAACAGTGAAAAGAGCATCAAATGAGTCATGTGAAATATTACCATGGTAGGGCTAAGAATATGGGTCAATGATAGAATGCATGCCTAACAAATGCAAATCTCTGGCTCCAGTCCCTACTCATTACTCTCCCAGAAAGGCAATTTGCCCCAAGTGTAATACTCATCAAAATCTACCATTTATTTTCATAAAAAACCGACATGTGTATAAACACCATATTTACATCATTTCTACTGTCCCTCTTCCCTCTCCAGCTCCTCCCACGCCCCACTACTCTTTAAAATTCATAGCCTCTTATTATTGTCACTCATGTGTTGCAATAATAACATACAAATATATACATGTAAAATCAACCTGAGTCCATTTAGTGCTGTTTGTATGTTTATGTGTTTAGAGCTGAACACACGTGACTGGATAACCTACTAGGCCAGCCTACTCTACAGAGTAAGTTGCAGGACAGGATCCAAAAACTGCACAGATAGCTGGGCATTGGTGGCATATGCCTTTAATCCCAGCACTCGAGAGGCAGAGGTAAAAGGATCTCTATGATTTCTAGGCCAGCCTGGTCTACAGATCTAGTTCCGAGACATGCTCCAAAGCAATACAGAGAAACCCTGTCTCAAAAAAACAAAACAAAACAAAACAAAACAAAAATCACAGAGAAACCTTGTCTTGAAAAACAAAATCAAAACCAAAGAAAATCCTATGTGAAAGAATTTTTGTACTTTCCCTTTATCCTACTTTCTAGAAATAACCACTATCAAAGGTTTAGAATAGCAAGTATAATATGTATAATAAATATATATCCTTGTTTGAATGTATAATAGACATATCTCTGGAAAGAAGTGATTTAGAGGAAGAGGTAGAACAATAGGGGATAATGAGGAAAAAATATTGCATGTTTCATGTAGAATCTATATTTAGCTATATACACATATGTATCTATACAAATGCACACAAATATGTATATATGTATACATTTAAGCATAAAGAGTAATATTTGTGAGGAAAAGCAGATCAGTAGCAGAGGTTAAGGAGGATAGAGGATGGTAGTAGGGAAGTAAACATAAACCAAATACAATTTATGTGTATACACAAAAATATCATAATGATTTCTGTTAAAGGAACATAGCAAAAAATGACTCCTAATGGATCAGAGAAGCTTCTTCTTGCAATAGGTAAGAATTAACTAAAAGACCCACAACTGACCCATGTACAGAGAATGAGAAACTTTGGAACACTCAGTCTTAAATGGGATGTCTTCATCAAACCCCACCCCTCAGAACTTAGGGATCTATGCAGAAGAGGAAACAAAAAGAATGTAAGAGTGTATGGTAATGGATGACTCCAAGAGAACAGTGTCTTCTAGACACAACAAGATTGATGCACATATTAATTCAAAGAGACTTTGGCGGTGTGCACAATACTGACACAGGTTCAAACCAGAAGAGGTCCCAGCATTTTAAACAGGGAAGTGGACATAGGTTCCAACTCCTAACCCAAAAGCTATTTGCAACTGATACCTGCTAGCAAAAAGAAAATCAGTTCTTTCCATTGGAATGTCAACTACACTCCAGGGCAGGCCTCAGGCCCAGGAGTAGATAACTAACACAAAGCAAACTTCATGTTATTTTTTGGTGGGTGGCTTATTTTGAGTTATTATTATTATTTTGTCTTAGAAGTTTTGTCTGGATTTTCATTTTTTGTTTTTGTTTTCTTTACAGAGAAAAATAAGCAAGCAAGAGAGAATATACATGTATGTACACATGAAACTGGATGGGTAGGGAGGTGACCTGGGAGGAGAAAACATGATCAAAATATATTGTTTAAAAAAAATTAGTACTTTATTTTTAATATATGCATGTATGTCTGTGTGAGGATGTCAGATCTTGGAGTTACATACAGTTGTTAGCTGCCATGTAGGTGCTAGGAATTGAACCAGGGTCCTCTTAGTGCTCTTAAGTGCTGAGCCATCTCTCCAGCTCCCACGAAAATACAATTTTAAAAAAAATACCATAATAAAATCTACTGTTTACACGAGCTTGCTAAAAAATAATAAAACTTTAAAATACTATCTGGGAGAAAACACCAACATTGGTTGTCCATGGAGAGAACAAGGAATGTGAGATGGGAACAGGATTTTCACTAACATTTCTCAGTGCACATATGGAAGTCAGAGGCTGACTCAAGTGAGTTGGCTCTCTCCTTCCACTTTGTGGGTTCCAGAGAACAAACAGGTCTCATCAGAATTGGTGACAAGTGTCTTCAACCACTGAGCCATTTCCCTGTACTGACCCTTTTGAATTTTAAAACGATATAAACTGAATTTTAAGTATCTTCTAAAAATTAAAAATATAAATAAAAGCCCATATATTGCTTTTCACTCCCCCACACAATTACATGTATGCCTTTTTAAAAGTAAAGGCAGAATTGCATGTTATTTTACAACCTGATTTGTTTCACTGAAAAACATATCTTAGGGCTAGAGAGATAGCTCAATGATTATTCACTGGCTGCTCTTCCAAAGCATCCAGATTCGATTATTAGCACTCTGATGAAGCCCACAACTGTCTGTGACTCAGTTCTGGGGAATATGACTGCCTCTGTGGGCCTCCTTGGGCACTAAATGCACCTGATGCACATACATACATACAGGCAAAAACACTTATACAAACAAAAGGAAATCTTAAAATGAATATTGCCATTAAAACACACATGCACATACATGTGTGCATATATACATCAAGGCAGAAATGGTGGTAGAACATGCCTACAAATCCTGCAATTAGGATATAAAGGCAGGAAAATCATGATTTCAAGAATTTGGCCTATATAAGTGAATTTATGATCAACCTGAAATATGCCGGTAGACCCTGTGTGTGTTTGGTTGGGGGGATAACTGGGGGAATGTAGTACAGTGGCAGAGTGCTTGCCTAGCATATATAAAGCCTTAAATTCAGTCCCTGTCATGAATTTAAAAAACTTAAAAATCTATCTTGAAGCTGGGTATGTCTACAACTATTTCGGAGGCTGGAGCATTACTTGAGTTCAGGAGTTCAAGACTAGCCTGAATAACATAGCGAGACACCTACCTCAACTGAAAAAAAGACACTATTTTGGTCATTTTTCTGTGTTAACAGATATTAAAGTGGTACATTCTTTTCAATTCTCTAATACATGGATTCCATTCTAAAGATGATATATGCTATAATTTATTTAACCTATGCTAGTGAACATATGAATGATTTCAGGCACATATCATTGCAAGGATGCAGGATGCATTGAACAATTTTTCTTACACATTTGTATGAAAGATCTCTATAAACTGAATTCCTATGCATTCAGTTATAAAAGCATATTTTTTATAAAGTATGTTCTTGAGCTAGCAAGATGGCAAAGCAGGTTAAGGGCCTAGGTACATAAAGCCTGATGACGTGAGTTTGATTCCTGAAACCCACATCAGAAGAAAATGGATTTCCAAAAGTTGTTGCCTGACCATCACACCATGCCATGGCATCCCTGTATGTACTTCCCGTGACCCCCAGCTCTCCATACACATAGTGAATAAAAATTAACCAAAACCCCCTTTGTTCTTTTGTTAAAGATTTAGTTATTTTTATTTTATATATATATATATATATGAATGTTTGGCTTGCATGTGTGTATGTGCATCACATGTGAGCCTGGTGCCCATGGAGATCAAAAGGGAACATCAGATTCCCTGGAACTGGAGTTATGGATGTTTGTGAATCACCATGTGGGCACTGGAAATAGAACTGGGGTTCTCTATAAGAGCAATAAATGCTCTTAACAGCTGAGCCAGCTCTGCAGCCAAAACCCTGTGTTCTTAACCTGCATACTTAGTACTATCACTAATTATTTCTACTAGCAGTTCTACCATAATAATTTGCTAAAATTCTGGAGCCTATATAAGATCTTTTTCAAATTGCCAGCTAGATTCTAGACCTCTCCCCCCATCCACCATGACTTCTGAACAAAGTTAATATCTACTAACATAGTTCAAATATTGCCCTTCTTTCACCCATGTCCCAACCTCCAGGTCCACATTTTGTCACTGGCAATCTCAGTTATCTCTGTTTCTTTTCCAATCTTACCTGCCATTGGCCATCAACAGAGCCAGTGGGTTCTCACTGCCATGAAGGTCCATGTCTTGTGAGTCATCATCTGATTCATTCAAGCAGGTACCAGTGATGTTGAACTGTAGAAGGAGGAGGCTCAGTTGTCACCAGTCTGAGACTCCCAGGTAAATCAAGATGGCCAGTTCCCTCTGGTTTTACTGCAAAACTGTCAAAAACCCTCTGAACCCAGGCCTTCTAATATGCCTATCCCCAACCCCCCACCTCCAACAATTACAGGAGTAGGAGGTTGAGAATATATAGTTTGCTTGGGGAAAACATATCATAGCTTCTGAAACATATTCCCTAAAAAGGAAGAGGGTACCATTATTAGATACCCACAGAGGACAACATGATCTTGAGACAAAGTAAAATCCTGAAGAAGGAGACAAGGACCTGTTCAAAATTCTAACCCAACACACAACATTCTCAAATCTCATTCTCACCTCAGTATATCAGGATTCAACTCAAGTGTCTTGTACCTAGAAAAGAGCTGAGCCCTACCTAGATAGAATCAACCCCCTTCTGTGTGTGAAAAAAAATCCCACACAGACCCTTTATTGTGGCATCCATACTTCATTTCACTCATTTGTTTTTATGCCTGTCATTATTAGCCTATCAGCCTCTTGAGTTCCAGTCACAGCACCTATCACAGTGCCCAGCACAGAAAACGTCTCAATAAATGCGTGTTAAATGAGTGGATCTGGTAGCCAAACACCAGGGGCCCTAAGAGATGGAAACAGAACAGGATAGCCTGTTCTTTTGAAATACTGCTCTTCCAAGGGACCCAAAAGGGTTGGGCTGAACCCATGGGCCAGCACCCACCTTTGCTTTCTGGGAAGAGCCTGTCTTCAGTGCCTGATGACTGTATGGGTCCATGAGATTATAGCTCAACTGGCCAGCAGGCCCCAAGGCTGAACTCTCCTTGCCCTTTCGCTCTGCCTTCTTGAAGATATCCTTGGGCTTCAGGCCTTTCTTCTTTGAACCACTTTTGGAGGGCAGTGACAGCCTGGACATGGATACTGAAGTGGAATGGGCTGGCCTGGTTAAGGGGATGGAGCCAGCTGGGAAGATCCTCTGCAGCCCAAAGATATTGCTCGTCTTCCCAACGTTCTGTTGGAAGATGTCCTACAAGAGTATTAGTACACGAGGGTGTTAGAGCTTAGTCAAGGGTTCTCTCTATTTTAAGAGCAGAGGTCTGTTCCCAGCACTAATGTTACTGCCATGAAGTGGCTTACACAGGTGCTCCACATATGCACACCCCTGGTTCCTATACAGTGAGTCATGATAAATGTATTGGGTGGCATTTCTTTACCCAGCCATTGACAAGTAAAGAGAAGACGAGCAAAGAAAAAGCCCAGCATTACTGTCAAAACTGGAGAGAAAAGACTCCAAGATTAGCTGACACAAAATAAAAAAATAATCAAGTACTTATCTGTGTGGTTCAAACTCTATGGACTATAGGACTTTTGAAGAAAGATTCTAGTCCTAATTTTGCTACCAGCTATCCCTGTGACCTTGGGAAGTTATCTGACCGAACAAGCTCTAGTGCTTGTTTGCTCAGATGTATAATTAAAAGTCAATAGTCAAGAGGTATTTTCAAAGATGTTCTGTGGTTACTTTCAGATTCCTGGGAGAAATCTTGGGGACTGGTGGTATGTGGAAGGCAGATGAGAGGAACAAGGGGAGCTCTAGGTCTCTGACCTTTGTCCTATTCAAAGCAGTTATGCTTTGATTTGTTATACAAACTGGCTTCCTTCCATAGAAGATCTTATCTGGGGAAAAAAGGATACCAGTGGTCTGTCTCATGAGTTTTCTTCTAACCAGCCTAAAGTTCTGTATGTAGAAAATTGGGTTAAGCATGTACTGTAAACTGCCAGTCCTTTGACTGACTCCTGAAAGGTTTTAGTAGGTGAAATAGGAGAAAATGAGGTAGGATGTAGACACTGAAGACTATGGAGTAGATAGTGAAAGATGCTACAAGCAGTGGGGCCAGAAGTCCAACTTCTAAAAGCAAATGACCCGGTAGCATGCATACACATACATGCATACATATATCCACAGGGAAAGGAAGAAAAAAGAGGGAAGGAAGAAGGGAGGGAAGGACAGACAGACACATAGACTACATCTCTTAGGCACTAAATACAATTGTATAGATCCTAGACAACTTTAACATCCTCAAGTCCAATTCTCCTCTGGTGCCTCTGCTACTTCACCAGCCCACACTGAGTTTTCTCTTTACTACAAAGTCTATTAATAACAGTGACTCACATTTATTGAGTATTTACTCTGCCAGGCACTGTGTGAGGGGCTCTATATTACCTCTCAATTCTACCAAAGATCTTAAAGGTTGGTAAAGTTATTCCTCACTTTAGAGATCAGGAAACTGAGACTTTGAAAGGCTCTCAAATGAAAGAACCAGAACCCAGGCTTTTCTGAGTTTCTTACTACTATATCTCCTGTCTCATGATATATGCCACCTGTTAAAACATGCCTTTGTGATAATTTTCAACCTGAGGTTGTCATTTTGTAGAATTCAGAGACTAAATTAAACAGAACAAGTATAACTATCACTATGGTTCAGCACTAGAATTTATTATGTGCCAACTGCATGTCAAGCACTATACTTAACATTCAATTCACATTACCTTATTTAATCTTCTTAACAACCTTGAATGGTATCATTATTCTCAGTTAAGATATAAGGAAACTGAATTTCAGAGAGGTTAACTACATCAGTTTGTGGGTAGACACAACATCATTCATGTATCTCAAGGACCTATCCCAGCATGTGGCATGCATGCAGAGAACATAATTATTTAAATGAATGATTAAATGAATGAATAAGGCCCTTGATAGAATTTTTCCATTCCTTTCCTGGGCTTTACACCAACTACAAAGTCCTGACCTGCCACTTGAGTCTCCAGCCCTTCCCACATGCCTTCCTTCCTCCCATGCATCTTACTTCCACCAAGCGGATCTCCCTAGCCAGATCTTTAATGAGCTGTACAGTCCGCACTGTCTCCGGGATCTCATCCTCATGGTCTGGTAGAGCCTGTCAAATAAGAAGCATGAGATAACTGATTTCTTGTAAACATGCCAATGGCAAGCAATGAAGAAAGGATAGTCTTTTCAATAACCGATAGGGAATCAATTAGATACTGGATATCCATAGGCAAAACAAAAACAAAAACTTTAATACATTTCTTGAAATAGAGAGGATTACAAACCTAAATTTAGAACTTAAAAATATAAACCCTATATAATTAAGGAGAAAATTTTTGTGAACTTTTGCTAAGCAACTATATCATAAGACAAAAATAGCATAAACTACAAAAAATTAAATAATAAATAAAATTGACTCACAGAAGACAAACACCTGTCTTTGAAAAACCTCTGTTACTTCAAGAAAAACCAAGGACTGAGAGAAAACTTTTATAGAACATATATCTGTGTACATATCTATAATTCCAGTGATTAGGACGTTGAGGCAGGAGGATTCCATTTGAGGCATGTTGGGCTATATTGTGAAAAATCTGTCTAAAAAAATCACATATCTAATAAAGAACAATATCAAGAAGTGTCAAGAATTAAGATGTAAACTTAGGGAAATCAACTTTGGAGAAGAGACCTCAGTACCAGCAGCTACAGGTCCATAGCTAGCCCAATAGCACCTCAATAGCAGGGAGATACCTGCCAGCTGTGTCTTTTGCTTGTCAACTTTTTTAGTATTGAGATTTAGGTTTTTATATATTGAGATCAATCTCTTTGTTGTTATTTCTTCTACCACTTTTCATTTTGTTTCTGTATTCAGTAGGCAAAAAATGAATACAGAAGATGAATACAGTTCCCCAGTACTTTTCTTATTTCTCATGGTTCAATTCTTTATCCCCTTAACAGCTAATTAATCTGGAATTTGAGGGTGAGGCTACATAGGGCAATGAGAACCCATGTAACCCAGTTGGATCACTTTAATGGTTCCCTCCCTTCCAGGAAAAGAGGAGAACTGGAGTGAAGGGAGCAAGTGCTTCCATGCAAATCATCTATTATTCAAAGTCTTCTTCCATGAGCCGTTCTGTGCTCCTTAAAAGTATCCTACTCTTTAGCTCCCTTTGACCATGCTATTTGGAGCCATTCTTTGGTTCCTGGTTCCATCTTGACTTTGATGAATGAGTGCTTAAGAACTACTACTCACTCTCTTTCTTTTGGTGTTCCTTGAAGAGTCTGTCTGAAGTATATTCGGTAGGAAGGATCAGAGATAACACTAAACACTTAAGGTAGCCACACTGGAGAAGGATGGAAAAATAGAACTACAGACTACAGAGAGGTGTACTGAGATCAGGGAACAAGGGAAAGTCCAAAACATGAAGTTCAAAAATATCAGGGGAATGCTGGCAACATAAGATGAAGAGATTGCACAGGTTAAACCTACAGTGTCTGAAACCTGGGACAGCATTAATATTTCTTCTATATTTTGCATTTCTTTGTTTTTAACTCTTTGAAACAATTTTCTCATATATATTTTGATCATGTATTTCCCCTTCTCTAATTCTAACCAAATACTACCCATCCAACTTCATGTCTTTTTTTATCACTTTAAAACAACAAACAAGAAATACACCCACACACATGCAAAACCAGAAATAAACATGGACTCTCACCCCTAGCCAATATAAACTATCTGTGATTGATATCTGTTGACAGAGAAGAAGTCAGTTTTCTCCAATATAGTCTCACTGGGTATATTAACCATACCTCAGGGCAAGTAGTTGACCAACATAAAACAAACTCAATGCTACTTTTGCATTTCTTAAGGTTGACATTTTAAAATGAACATTTGGAAATTAATATATTTACATGGTTCAAAAAATAAATAATTAAAAATATTATGTTGAAAACCCTCACCACTACCCTGTCCATAGCATACCTCATTCTACCCTCTCCCATAGGTAACTACTTTTTCATTAACTTTTGAAACATGCCTAAAGATTATGTCTTCAGGCAAATAATATACACAAACACAATTCTTATTTCCTCTCCTTTTACATAAATGGTTGCTTCTATACATGGCTGTGCACCTTCATTTGACAAAATTCTGGAGATATTTCTAAGTTAATACACAGAGTTTAAGAAAGATATAAAAATTGTCTTTTATAGTTGTTTTATAGTCAGAGAGTACATTTCTTAAAAAGCCATTTTGGCAGTGTGCATCAAGAGCCTTATATTAATCTTTCAGGAATCTATCCTGAAGGAATTAAGAAGAGATAAGGGCAAGGACTCATGCATACAGACATTTACTATATGATTCACTGTAACTACATCCCCCCCAAGTAAGAAAGAAATAGAAAGCAACTATAAACAAGTAATTAGATAAAGATAACATATTCCTGTAAAAGAATAGCAGGTAGCAATTAAGAATTCATGAGAACTTGAGCAACACAAAAACATTAAGTTAATCTAACACCCACATTAAGTGTACAACTCCAGTTCCAGGGTTTCTGACACCCTCTTCTGACCTCTGAAGGTACTGTGTGCATACCATGCACTTACATTTGGACAAACCACACACACATAAAATAAAATGGAAAAAATGTAATGCACACAAAAAGATAAAATGGAAATGTAACTAAATGTCAATTCCTTTCAGTTAATATTACAAGTGATATTTTTCTTCTTTACAACCTTTTATATGTTTCTAATTTTGAAGAATACGCATGTGTTGCTTCTTAAAATCAGAAATAAAGGCTCCTAGCCCAGTATTCCACTCCAGCACAGGAGCCTACTTGCCTCTGTGATTCTTTATGTCTCCCCAAACATCTATCAATAGCTACCCTTTACGTAAGGAAAACTACTGAGTAGATATAAAACTAAGCATATTTACTTCTTTCCTTGTCCAGGCTCTAAAGGCCAAGTTCAAAGCTTTACCACCATGGACCAAGTAGGAGGCAGGGTGTCTCCTGTTCTCTCGCAAACCTTAAACAGGGGAAAAAAAGGAAAAAGAAGAATATCAATATAGTCATTCAAAGGGATGAAGGACTTGCTACCAAAGAAAATGCTGAAGATTCTGAGCATACCTTCAGCTCTGTTACACTAATAGTGTTCAGTTACTAAGAACATATTATATACTAGGCAGCTGTCATTTAATCCTGATATCCACCTTGCAAGCAAAGTTCATTTTATAGATAGCTCAGGAAGTTAAAGGTCTGAGAGAGTCTTGAATTAAGGATATACACATAATAAGCACCAAAGCTCAGACTAAATCCTGTCTATTTGAATATGAGGGAGGTCTATATTCCTTCTATGAAATTATTCTGCCTTTTAGGTCTCAAAATTGACTATGCTATGCCTTACTTCATGAGGAAGCTATTAACACCCAGTTTTAGGCTTTATGTAAGATTTTTCTATGGAACTAAACTGTCCAAAATAGATAAATGAGCCATTAGTTATTCCACATTTGAACACTTACATGACAGTCTGTCAAAGTGGCAGAGTTAAGGGCTTCAAGTATTGGGTATGAGGATGTACCCACTGAGCCATGAGGTCCTTTGTAACTGAAATACTGATTCCTTATGATCAAGTTACCTTGAAGAATCAATCTCAGATCCAAACAAGGGACTCACATTGTGTCAGACAAGACAAAGAAAGAGGAAATTCAGCAAGTATGCTTCCTTGTGGGCTGATACCCAAGAATATGTATGATGAGGCCAGGATGCCAGAACTGGGCCTTATCCCTGAGGGAAGCACATCCAGGATACTAATAAAAGAGCAAATCCTAATAGACACTATTTGATTCCATGTATATAATATTCTTCAAATGACAAAATTATAGGCATGGAAAACAGATTTGTAGTTTCTATAAGTTAGGGATGATGTAGGGGGACAAAGAGAGTGAAGTCTAATGGTTGTAGCACCTTTTTAGGTCACATTTTTATTTTTTAGTTAGGTACAGAAAAATACAGAGGTTTTTATACATATAAATCAGTGTATTTTATTCTTATTAACTCAACCCACTGCCCTCTTCTACCCCTTCCTTACCCCAGAGTCCTGGCATCTGCTTCCATGTTACACATATTCCATTACCCTTTGTCCTGCCCATCCCTCACCAAGTGTGCCCAACCTTCTGACATTGCAACCCAATGCAGTTACCTTAAAGTTCATACTAGATAACCCTGCAAGTAAGTTACCAAAACAAACTGCAAAAGCACTTCATAACATCTTAAGTAGTTTACAATTTTATGCTGGGTCCCATTTTCTGCTGTCCTTGGCCACATGCAGCTGGATGCAGCTTTTAGACCACCGGTTTGACACAATTGCTAGACCTCCTTCTCCATACTTATAATCCCCTTCTACTTTGATCACGCACGCACAAACAAAATATTTCTCAGTCTGGTTATTTCATTTAACATAATGATTTCCAGTACATCCATTTTCTCCAAATACCAAAATTTCAGTTTTTAACTATAGCTGAATAAAGTTCCAATATGCCTACACAGCCCATTTTCTTTATCTACCATCTGTTTATGGACCTCTAGGCTGGTTCTATATCTCAGTTATTGGGACTTTTTATTGTAAATATTTAAGGTATTAATGCTGTTTTGACATACACAGCAAGGCACCAGCAGTAGCAAGCTTTCTTCTCTCATTCTTCCTCTCCACAATTTTCACACTCCTTCTTCTTCCTTTCTCTCTTAGCAAAAATTATAGCTCATAAGGAGAATCATACCTCGAAAGATGTCCAAAATGTGTTTTCCCACATACCAACAGATGGTCTCAAAGTTGGGAAACTTGAAGAGGTCTGCTGTGCTCAGCCGCTTCTCAATTTCATAGGCTCTGTAAGGAAACATAATGAATATAAAAAGGATCTATTACTGAGAACCTATTATGTACCAAGTATTATTCTTGGTGATATGTATCTGCTATATTTAATCCTCACGGTGACCCTGTAAAGCCCTACTTAGAAACATTGGGCCCAAAGATTATGTGACTTGCCCAAAGACACATTAACAGCCAAGTGAAGAAACGGTATTAACTTTGTCAAACTGAGTGTCATCAAGAACCAAGATACAGCTTGGTGGTGGCGGTAGTGGTGGTGGCGGCAGCAGCAGCAGTGAATGCCTTTAATCCCAGCCCCAGCACTTGGGAGGCAGAGGCAGGCAGATCTCTGAGTCTGAGGCCAGCCTGGTCTATAAAGCAAGTTTCAGGACAGTCAGGGCTACACAGAGAAACCCTGTCTAAAACACACACACACACACACACACACACACACACACACACACACACACACACACACACACACACAAGAACAACCAAGATATTTTCCTTTCTAGTTGTCTTTATTTTACTATACTGCATTCTTTACACACTGGAAAGCACAGGAACTATAGCCCGTAAAAAGGAACAATTTCAGAACTCACTTGAGCTGCATTTCAATGTTAAGGCTATGTAAGAAGTTTCCTCCAAATGCTAGGCAGTCCACAGGAGTCAGCACAGCATGGATCCATCCTGTAGTATATAATAAGGCAAAGATCACAGCTAGAAGAAGGCCTTTCTTTCTTTGGACACCTCACTGCCTAGTCTGTTTAATCTTGACTCCATAAAAAACAGTGTAGAACTGAATTCAAAATACTTCAACCTTGTCTACTCTATCATTATTGTAACCCTAAAAAAAATCAACTTATAAAGCTAATAATAAAATCAACTTATGAAGCTACTACACTTCTACTTCTTTCTCCACTTCAAAAATCTTTCCATTGTTTTACCTACCTTTTCTTAGCTAAAAGAAATTACACTTTTGCTAGAACTATTCTTTCTAAAATGCACACCACTAGAATACAATTGTTCATTCCCCTTGACTGTGACCTAATTTCACATTATGTTTTTCCTTAAGTCTGTTTCATATTCATCTCCCTTTGCCACACCTTACTCCAGAAGGTTCATGTCCCATCTTATCTCTCATAATGGCTACTCCTCCAAACTGTATGCATTTATTTAATTTATTTATTTATGTTACATACTGACCACAGCCTCCCTCCTCTCTTCACACTCCTTCCTTCTACCTTTCCTCTTCCACCACCTCAATCCACCCCTCTTCTGTATCTACCCAGAAAAGGACAGGCCTCCCATGGGCATCAGCAAAGCACAGCATATCGAGCTGCCATTAAGACCAACACCTCTCCCTGTATTTAGGCTGGGCAAGGCAATCCAGAATGAGGAATGGGTTCCCTTGAGCCAATCAAAGCACCAGGGACAGCCCCTGCTCCCATTGCCAGGAATCCCACAAACAGACTAAGGTACATAACTGTCACATATATGCAGAGGGCCAAGGTTGGTCCCATGCAGGCTCCCTGGTTGTTGGTTCAGACTGAGTTCCCAAGAGCCAGGCTAGCTTTTTCTGTGAATTTCCCTGCAGCATCCCTGGATCCTTCTGGCTCCTACAGTCCCTCAGCACTCTCCTTAGGACTCCCTGAGCTCGATCCAATGTTTGATCATCTCATTAGATGCTGAAAAAGCCTTTGACAAAATCCAAAACCCCTTCATGATAAAGGTATTGGAGAGATCAGGGACAAAAGGAACATACCTAACCATAATAAAAACAACATACAGCAACAGTCAACATCAAATTAGATGGACAGAAATTCAAAGCAATTCAAGTAAAATCAGGAACAAGTCAAGGCTGTCCACTCTCTCCATATCTGATGGGAGATGTCATTCTGTAAACATGTTTCTCTTATTGGTTAATGAATAAAGCACTGTTGGCCAATAGGAAAGCAAGATAGGCAGGACTAGGAGACAAGAAGGATTCGAGGAAGTAGTAGGGAGGAATCAAGATGTAGAGACTGGAGAGAACAGATTGTGTGTTATTTGTGGCTGGTGCGGCTAAGGGACCAGACCAGCAGGGAAAAACCTGCTCCTAACACATATCTATTCAATATAATACTTGAAGTTCTAGCTAGAGCAATAAGACAACAAAAGGAGATCAAGGGGATACAAATTGGAAAGGAAAAAGTCAAACTTCTACTATTTGCAGATGATAGTATATATGTGACCTGAAAATTTCTACCAAAGAACTCCTACAGCTAATAAACACCTTCGGCAAAGTGGCAGGATACAAGATTAACTCAAATAAATAAATAAATAAATAAATAAACCAAACCAAACCAAAATCTGTAGCCCTTCTATATACAAATGAAGAATGAGCAGAGAAACAATACCCTTCACAATAGCCACAAATAATACATCTTGGGGTAACTCTAACCAAACAAATGAAACATCTATATGACAAGAATTTTAAGACTTTGAAGAAAAAAACTAGAGAAGATAGCAGAAGAGGGAAAGACTTCCCATACTCATGGATCCATAGGATTAACCTTGTAAAAATGACCATCTTACCAAAAGCAATCTAGATTCAATGAAATCCCCAATACAATACTTTACAGACCTCAAGAAATATACTCACCGGGCAATGGTGGCACATGCTTTTAATCCCAGCACACGGGAGGCAGAAGCAGGAGGATCTCTGTGAGTTCAAGACCAGCCTGGTTTACAAGAGCTAGCTACAAGACAGCCTCCAAAGCCACAGAGAAACACTGTCTTACAAAAACAAAAGAAAGAAAGAAAGAAAGAAAGAAAGAAAGAAAGAAAGAGAGGAAGAAAGAGGAAGAGGGAAAGAAAGAACAAAACTCAACTTCATATGGAAAAACCCAGGATAGCTAAAACAGTCCTGTATAATAAAAGAGCTTCTATAAGGCAAAGGACACCATTGTAGTGAGATAGTCACTTTGTCCACATCGGTGGCACTGACCACGCCCATTGGGAGGTGGAGACAGGAGCGGAAGTGACCTGGGGAACTAGGTCTGAGGAAGAGCCTAAGAGTGCTAGCTTGCTGGTGGGACAAGGATAGGAGAGCATCCGGTGGAACCTGCTGGTGTTCAACTGTTTATGTTGTAAGTTATTTCTCCCTGAATAAATATCTGTTCGGTCTATTTATTTATCCTGATCCTTATTAAATCACGATATCTGCTGTCAGAAGTGGGATTTCTTGTTAGCCATGTTGAAGGCAAACATCTGAATGGTGTGTATGAGAGCTGGCAATGGCAGTGACCACATCTCCAAGCCGGCAGCATGCTGCTGGATGGCAGCGTAGACCAAGGCAGTGAGCACAGCTCTCAGTTCTGGCGGTAAAAGTACCTGCCACCATCTTGGATAGACTGTGGCTAATACAGCTATGGCTTTCATTTTAGCAATGTTGTTTACCAGATAAAAGACTAGCAGCCACAAAAAGATAAAGATTTACAGTAAAGACAGATTCAGATTAAGAAAAACCTCTGAAGGTTTACAGTGTGTTTTAAAATGTATGTAGGCTTGGGAGAGAAAACAAAACAGGATAAAATGGTTCAAAAAAAATAAATAAAAAGACAGAGAGTAGCTGAGTGTGGTGGCACACGCCTTTAATTCCAGCACTCGGGAGATAGAGGCAAGCAGATCTCTGTGATTTCAAAGTAAACCTGGTATACAGAGTTAATTCCAGGACAGATAAAAGTTACAAAGAGAAACCCTGTCTCAAAAAATGAAAAAAATACAAGTAGAAGAAATAGAATGATAAAAAAGCCAGGTAAAGTTGGAAAGCACAGAGATACTTTGGGTACTATATATTGTTCTGTTACCTTTAAATTGTTTGAATGCTGAGGAAAGAACAACTGTTAAAACAAATGCTGCTGGATTAATTCAATTTATATATTTTTAAAATGCATTGACTTCAAAATTTAAGTCTAAGGACAGGTTACTGGAGGAAAGGATTTCTATTTTTGTTTCCACAGAAAAAGAAAACCAGTGGATTCCTTCCTGATTAACATGGTTTGATCAAGCAAGACCCCCCCCCCCGAAGCATTGTCCCTGGGACAATGCAGTCTTACAGACTGCTACAGCCAAGATTTCTTAGTGTTCTTAGGATCCCCATGACAGTGCCTCTACCAGCAGGAAGCAGTTTGGAAAGAACAATGCCCAAATTCCCAAATATTGTCTATAAATATTTGTTTTCATTTAACTGGAGTTGATTATAAATGGTTAATGACCACAACTAACCTTTTTAAAGGTAAAAAGGGGTTATGGTATTGATATGAATACTTTTCTTTGGAATGGATTTTTATTTATTGATAAAAATTTAAGGTCAATTTTGTGATTTGTATATTTCTCCTCTTGTTTAGGTATTGTGTTTATTTAGCGCATTTAGAAATATAATGTATAATTTAGCACAAATTATAGGTAGTTACCTATGATAGGCAAAACTTACAGTTAAGTTAGATTTTTAGACATATAGAGATGTATTTGAGATGACTAGGCATTCTTCAAACCTTTCAAAGACTTACAGAATATGGCATTTAAAATGGTTTAGGGTTTTTCTTGACAATGAGGCACAACTGCTCCTGGAAACACCACCTGTGTCAGAAAGGAAGATGGACATTGAAGAAACTCGTTATGGAGTTTGCTTTCAATATGGCAAAGCCATTTGGGCAAGATACTGCTCATCTGGACTGTTTGACTTTATGTTGTATAAACTGGACATGCAGGACCCTCAGGAAAGTGACTGCTGATACAAGATGGATATTGCTACAGAGTTCCTGCTTCATGGAAGAAGAGTCTGCCAGACATTCTGCAGGACACAGAGAAAAATAACTGACAAACTGCCTATACAGGTGGACAGTTTCATTTCATGCTTTGCTGAGGAGTCTGCCAGACACATTATGGCCTATAGGCTGAAAATGGAACATTACAGAAGAACTTCAGGTGACTGATCAGGTAGCAAGATGTCTCTGTCATTTCTAGAGTTTATATATTATCCTTCTTTGGTCTTTGATGCAGTTGAAGACAGATATTTATGGTTATGTTTTCCTTAGTTAGGATTAAAGATAAGTTACATATAAGACTTTAGACTCACAAAGATAGGATAGATAATGCAATGTTTTCTTTAAATCTTGTTAAATGTTAATGGACTAAATATTGTTAACTGTGGTTCTTATTTGATAAATATTTTCTATATATTTTACTAAGTTAAAACCCTTCTTTTTATTTTAGACAGAAAAGAGGTGATGATGGGAGATGTCATTCTGTAAATATGTTTCTCTTATTGGTTAATAAATAAAACACTGTTGGCCAATAGGAAAGCAAGATAAGCAGGACTAGGAGACAAGGAGGAGAGAGGAACAAGAGGGAGGTGATTCAAGATGGAGGACTGAAAGAGAAGAATGCCAGGGCCTCTCTCCAGTAAGATGCAACCACATGGAAATACTTAGATTACTAGAAATGGGTTAATATTTAAGACAGATGTAGCCGATAAGAAATCAGTAACTGGCCAACAGCTTTATATCTAATACAGAGTACTGGTGTTTTATTTGGGGCTAGCATGGCTGTGGGACCAGGCAGGTGGAAAAAATACACCATTAATAGGACAAAATGGCAACCTACAGAATGGGAAAAGATCTTCACCAAATCCCACATCAGACAGA